ACTGTGAAACTTCTAAAAGAAAAAGCGTTTGCTATGCTGGAGTTTGCAAAGCTTTCTTAGTACATAAAAAGCATGAATCATACAAGAAGAAAATTGATGAATGGGATTTCATCAAAATTGAAAACATCTGCTCTTGAAAAGACATCATAAAGGAAATAAAAAGGCCAGGCACAGACTGGGAGAGAATATCATCATATATACACCTGACAAAGGACTTATATCCAGAATATATAGAGAATATAATATAATATACCGCAAGTCCCCTACATACGAATGAGTTCCGTTCCGAGAGCACGTTCGTAAGTCCAGTTTGTTAGTAAGTCCAACAAAGTTAGCCTAGGTACCCAACTAACACAATCGGCTATATACCGCTGCTTTTACACTTGCTTCCAGACACCCTGGGCTTGAAATATGACACTATACTGCTGTACTCTATACAGTACTGTAGAGCAAAGTACACAAAAGCACAACCACTTGTAGAGGATGCACGCACGTGACAATGCACGCTAGACACGTGAACTAACTTACGTGATTGGACATGCGAACGCACGTTTGCATCTTTGACAGTTCGCAACTTGAAGGTTCATATGTAGGGGACTTACTGTAATTGCATATGTATCTATTGTGTGTATTTATATTACTATAATCAATAATAAGAAAACAAACAATCCAGTTTAAAGATAGGCGTAAGATCTAAATGGACACTTAACGATAGAAGATACATGAATGGCTAGTGAGGATGTGAAAAGACATTCAATATCATTAGTCATTGGGGAAATGTAAATTAAAACCACAACGTGATACCACAACACACTTACTAGAAGAGCTAAAATTGAAGAGACAGACGATACCAAGTTTTGACAAGACTGTGGAATAACGAACTCTCATAATGTTGTTGGTGGGAATACAAAATTGTCCAACCAGTTTGGAAAACATTTTGACAGTTTCTTATAGTTAAACTTACATTTGCTATATGACCAATCCATTCTTAGCAATCTGCCACAGAGAAATGAAGATGTATGTCCACAGTAAGACTTGTATACGAATGCCCATGATGGCTTTATTCACAAGAGACCCAAACTGGAAAGAATCAAATGTCCATCAACTGGAGAATGGATACACAAATTATGGTATATTCAATCAATGGGATAACATTTATCAATAATAAGTAACACACCACTGATTCATGCAACAGCATGGATGAATTTAAAAGAACATTTTGTTGGCTGAAAGAAGCCAGACACAAGATCATGCATACTATATGATTTTATTTAAATGAAATCCTAAAAATGGTAAAACTAATCTATAGAAACAGAAAGCAGGTCACGTGGTTGACCAAGACTAGTGTATGCAGGGGTTTTGGGAGGATAATGGAAATGTCCTATTTCCTGATTTGGTGGTGACTGTATAGGTGCATAGATGTTCAAGACTGACTGAACTAAACACTTAGGATGGGTGCATTTTTATAGTGCGTAAACTAAACCTCAATAAAATTGATTTTAAAAAAAGGAAAGGGAAGGAATCCAGAGGAAAATAGAAAGCAGTATTATGTCAATTTCCACCAATCAAAAGGCCTGCTGAGATTTTGCTGGAGATTTTGGTGACTCCATAGATCAATTTCAACAATGTTAAGTCTTTCATGAGTATGGTATATCTCTCTATTTGTTTAATTTCTTGTAGTAATGCTTTGTAGTTTTCAGGGTCTTGTACTTCTGTCATTAAGTTTATTCCTACATGTTGTATGTTTTTGCTGCTATGGTTTAAAAATAATTTCAGTTTCCATTTGTTTGCTGCCAGTGTATAGAAATACAATTGATTTTTATGTATTGACGTCACATCCAATAATCTGGCTGAGATCACTTTTTTTTTTTTTTTTTTTTTTGAGGTACAGCGGGCCTCTCACTGTTGTGGCCTCTCCTGTTGCGGAGCACAGGCTCCGGACGCGCAGGCTCAGCGGCCATGGCTCATGGGCCCAGCTGTTCCACGGCATGTGGGACCTTCCTGGACCGGGGCACGGACCCGTGTCCCCTGCATCGGCAGGCGGACTCTCAACCACTGTGCCACTAGGGAAGCCCTGAGATCACTTATTAATTCTAATATTTGGTAGATGCTTTTGGATTTTCTATGTACACAATTATGTAATCTTCAAATAAGGACAGTTTTCCCCTCACTTTCTAATATTTATAAACTTTATTTCCTCTTCTTGCCATATTGTGTGGCAAAGACCTCCAATGCCATGTTGAATAAAAGTGGCTTTTTGGTAGATACTCTTTATCAAATAAAAGAAATTCCTTTTCACTCCTAGTTTACTGAAGTGTTTTAGAATTTCATTAATGGATATTAAATTTTATCTTATGCTTCTTCTGCGTCTATTGAGGTGATCATATTGTTTTCCTTTTTTATTCAATGAATGAGGTAACTTACACCAATTGACTTTTGAATGTTAAATCGATCTTGTTTTCCAAAGATAAAACCTCCTTGGCTATAATATGTTATCCTTTTTATATATCGCTGGAATCAAGTTGTTAATGTTTTGTTTAAAATCTTTGCATCGATATTTGTAAGTTAGCTTGGCCTTTTGTTTTCCCTTCTTGTAATTTTCTTGTCAGGTTTTGGTATCAGCAGTGATCAACTCATTCTGACTTACCTGTGACTTTCTTGGTCTTAGCACTGAAAGTTCCCATCCTGGGAAAACCCTCTCAGTCCCAGGAAAACAAGAACAGTTGGTCACCCTAGTGTCAGCCTTATTCTGGCCTCATAGATGAGTTGGGAAGTGTTACCTCGTTCCAAATTCTCTGAGTTTTTGTAAGTTTGGTATAATTTCTTTCTTAAATATTTGAAAAGATTTATCAGTGAAGTCATCTGAGCCTAGAATTTTCTTTTTTGGGAAGTTTTAAATTATGAATTTACTTTATTTAAGCAATATAGGACTGTTCTTCTTGTATGTGTTTTATTAAATTGTTTTTCAAGGAATTTGACCATCTTATGTAAGTTGCCAAATTTCCAGGCACTTCCAATTCTGTTACATAGTTTCTGTATCCACATTGTTATCTTAAAAAATAAAAGTCAGTTATTTTACCAGCAAAAATGGGTTTATTCGAGAATAACAGAGAATTGAAATTCAGGACAAGTAAGTCACAGTAAAAACCACAGGCAAGTCTAATAAACAAAGGAGAGGAACATTATTTTATAGTAAAAAGGAGGAAGCTGGGAGGGCTTATTTTGAACTAAGTCCATTGGATAAAAGTGAGAATTCAGGGTGATGATGGTTTTTCCCTGGCTGAGTTACCAGGGTGGTCAATTTCTTGTAGGAGATGCAATGTGCATCTTTTCCTGTTGGGGGGCATAATTGGTGATTCTTTCCTTTTGGTGATCCTTCTGCTGGGGTCTGTAATTGACAATTCTTCCTGTAACTGACAATTCAGGTAATTGACGTCTACCTGTGTGTCTGTGAGAACTCCCACTTCTGGCCTTCCAATTCCATTTTAGTGAGGTTTCCCTCTTAATTTTCACAAGGTTTTACAATATTGGTTTTATTATTCTTAGATATTTGATTATTATTGATGCACTGTAAAGTATATCTTTTAAAAATTTCATGTTCCTACTCTCTGTTGCTGGTAAATCAAAATACTATTGATTTCACATTATTTTACACTCAACTTATATCCACAAGTCTTACTTGACTTACTTATTCATTCTAAAAGTTTATCTTTAGAATTTTAAAGATATTCTTTGTGCAAAAATAATTTTGTCTATGAATAATACTAGCTGTATTTCTTGTTTTCTAACCAGTACATATTCTTTTCTTTTAAAAATTCTCCCTTCCTTCCCTCTTTCTTCCCTTCCTTCCTTTATTCCTTTCTTTTTCTTTCATCTTTTTTCCTTTTCTTTTTTTCTTTCTTCTTCTTCCTCCTCCTCCTTCTTCCTTAGTTTTATTGCACTGGTTTGGACACCAAATATTGAATACATATGACATATACCTATATAGTGCATCTCCTTATATTTTCGTCCACCTCAGAGGAAAGAGTTTCAATATTTCACCTTTAAATGTGAAAAGTAAAAATTATATTTTAAAGTAATGTCTTTTTCCTTTGAGGATTTCAAAAGATGAAATAATTTCAAAATCAAATGAATTATAGATCTTAAATTTGAATGTCTGAAAATAGGCAAAGCTTGTTACCCAAAGGGAAAAAAGTAGAGTTGGGGTCTGAAATAGAGCCTCTCTTCAAACATACTTTTCTCTTCTAATAGTAAACCACTTTGTGAACCATGGTGCTTATAGCACATTAAAATGTAAATTAAAAAAAATATCCGTGTAAACCAGGAAGTGCCCTATCTAGCTTAATTCCTTTTTCTTAGATTGAAAAGTTATCTTCAAAGGCCAACAGTGAAAAGACTAAAGCTTCCTGATCAATGATTTCTACTGTGGTTGAGCCCCAAAGCCTCCCTTCACTCACTAAAGGAATCAAGGTGGAAACAGACCACACCTGTAACTCAAGCTGTGTGAAGATGGTTACTAAGGCTTCACAGCTTCTAGAGCAGTCCTCGGGAGGATGTCCCTTCTCATACCTTCAAACGGAGACCTCTGAAGACATTAGCTTGGTGAATATCAGATACCAGCCCTACGTATGCTGATTTCTGTTTCCTTAACATTTTATTTTGAGTTTGATGGAATTGAATTGTAGGTAACCTTTCTGAAAAGCTACTTTATGGTGGTAGAAGTCCAGCTACCTTCATGGGTTCTTTCCCTAATACTCCCTGGTGAATTGTCCCAATCTTTGACTTCATGTGACCCACATGCCAACATGTGAACACATGGTAATATGCCCTCGTGGCTGCTTTTGGTTTTCTGCATGTCCACTCAGTATTCTCCATCCACCTAGGTTTACAATCAACTCGTATACATGGAGGCCCATCATACACTCACCATTGGGCTGGACACCCAAAGAGTACATTCTAGACTCTGTCCTTCGAGAGCTGTACCACACTTGGGAGCGCCAGCTATGACACTCAGGTAAAAGCAAAGAAAGAATTAAGTTCTAAGTTTCCTGTTGCTGTCTTTGAGAGCAAATGCTCCTTCAGGGACTGGGGAGGGTAGTTAGGACAGATGTTAAGAAGGGATGTATTGGCTTGAGGGACACCTGGTGTTAAATGCAAAAGACACTGAGAGATATGTGGGCAGGTGCTCGGAGGTGGGAAAACAAGACTGAAGTAATTCACGATTGGCTGAATATAGTTCTTTGGCTACTGTTGCCATTGACAAATCCCACCAATGCGACCTTCAAAATCAATCCCAAACCCTGCCCTTGATCTCCACCTGCACCACCAGCACCCTGGTCGCAGTCGTGGTGGCCCAGGGTTTCAGTAGCCTCCTACTGGTTCTCTGTACACACAAACCTGCCCCTATACTTGGTGCACACAGGTAGATCCCCACCACACCCGGGGATCTATCACATCAGCTCCTCCACCCTTTCCCTCACATGGATGCCAAGCCAGAGTCCTTCCAGGAGCCTGGGCTCTCCAAGCTCTGCCCTTTGGCCTCTCCAGGCACATAGGCTTTCCTGAGTTTCTCCAACACTCCTAACTCATCCTCTCCACTGGGCCTTTGGCATTGATGGTCCCATGCTTGGAGCAAGCTCCCCTCTTAGCTGGAGACAGGCTGGGACCTGGGATCCTTTGCTGCAGTGCTTGCACCTGGACAAACGTCTCCTAGAGAAACAAAATGCAAAGAAACTATAAAGGATTAAAAATAACTTCGTGCATGCACAGTTAGGACAAATTCTGGACAAGAAGATTCAAAAAATACAAAAAGACCAAAAAAAAAGCAAAACCCCAACTGCCACTTCTGAAGAGCTGGGAGCAAAAGCAGGGCACTACGCATGCCCCCTGCACTCAACACCACCAAAAGGGTGGGCAGACCACCTGAGCCACCCTCTGGCCTGACCCCTGGACACACCCCTCTCCTCATCCCATGTAAGAAACAGCTCAACCCCCCTCGGGGAGCGATCAGGGGAACCTGTTACTTGCTTTTGCTCCTTCCTGTGGCCGCAGGAGCCCCAATACAGCCTTGCCTGAACTTCTTGTCTGGCCTCTTATCAATTTCTATTGGTTAAGGAGGCCAAGAATCCTGGTTAGTATCAGGCTCACAAGACCTACTTTACCACATCATCAAGGGCTCTGCTAAAACATCACTTCCTTCCTGGAGGCCTTCCTCCACTACACCATCCCATCATTATCTAAACCTCTCCTGGCCTCATCTCTTCCTACTGTTTGTCATCACCTGAGACCACAGGTGAGTGCTTTGTCCCCTCTGCCACCTGCTCTGAGTCTAGATGGCTGGCTCATGGCAGGCGGCCCATCAATGTTTGCTGAATCAGTGAATGCACGACTCTCATCTAGCTCACATTCACCCTGGCCTTCCAAAGGGCTTCCTAGTCCCCTGCCCACAGCAGCAGGGCTCTGTGCTTTCCTGAAAACACATCTTTAAGCCGTATTGTGTGCAGAAGCCTCTTGGGACGCAGAGGACTCTACAGAGCGGAGCAGGCAGGGTGTCTCTGTAGAGTGCTGGCTGCGGGTCCCCTGTCTTTTGTCTGCAGAGCGCTGCAAGTCTAAACCTGAGCTCGGGCACACAGGGGGCTCGAAAGCCCCACCAAAGAGTTTCCCTGCCCTGCTGGGTGACCTTGCTCAGCAGTGGGCAGGACCTGCCTGTTCTTTTAAATAAAAGGAGTGCCTGTGTCCCAAAGCCTCTCTTATGAGAAGTTTCTGAAAAGGTTTGCTTACCTTACTTAACTAATTAAAGGCAAGCCACATTCCCCCTCTCTGGTCTCTGCAGTCAAGCACCAGCGGCTACTTGATAGTCACTGCCAGGTAGGGTTACCCAGAGGCCCGTGACCAAGCCATTTGCGTGATGATTGAGTCGACAAGGCTGAGTGCCTCAGTGGAAATATTTCCCGGTTGGACTCTCCTGTTGGCAGCCTGCTTACCATCACGCTTACTTTTATAATGAGAAAGGAAATTATTTCTGCTTTTAATGATGGCGGCTCCAGAAATGGTGAGTGAAGTGGGGGGTGGGGGTGGGGCAGGTGCAGGGGAGAGAAGCCGCTTCTAAAAGATGACTTCTCAACATTTCTGGATGTGAAACCTCCCAACCATGACCTGCTGGGAAGGGACTCCCTTACCTAGGTTCCCCGTTTCAGAAAGCATTTTGCTGTTGATTCTTACTCTTGTTCTAAAGCCAGACTGTGGAATTTGCCACAGGCTGACAGTAAGCTGCAGTTACGAGCAAGAATCAAGGTAAAAGATGCTGAATGTGAATTATTAGTTTCCTAAGCTATTCTTCGAAGCTACTCTCGCAATGGAAATGAAATAAACATTTTTAGCGCATAACTCTTGCTTAGATTTTCCCATGACCACGTGAAACAGCATGAAGACAGAGTTTGTTTTAAGTGGCTTAATAGTTCCCTTTTGAATTTCAAACATTACAAGTAAATGGAGAGAAAATAACGATGGGTGATCTAAGTATCCATGTTTATATGACTCTTGGAAAGTCTAGGTTTTAGCACGTTGCAGAAGCAACTTCCTGGGGTGCTCTCGCCTGATTCCTCGGAGAGTGAGCTGGAATTTAGTCGGGAACATTTGGACTGTTTCTTTGCTCCCTCTGCCCCTCTTTTGAGTTATTGGAAATGACTTCCAAAGGCTTCTGACCTGTCCGGCATCACGATAGGTGGAATTCTCTTGGAGGAAACAGATCCCCGGTGTAGCTTTTGGGCGAGCCCGCAGTCCCCAGCCACTCCTCCCTTTGCGAGGTAAAGGGGGGGGACTGGGCACCCAGAGGGCGAGGATACTTTCATCCTTAATTAGGTCAAGCCTGTGCGAGCCAGGAAAAGGTTGTGTTTACGGGAAGCTCCGAATACTGTGGGTGAGCGTCCCTTCCTTGGTGCTATCTGCATTTTGGGGGCACGGACATGATGTGAGTATCCAGACTTCTTATAGTATGGTAGGTGTATCACCTGCACGGGCAAAGGGTCAAGTTTAAGTGGGACAAAAGAGAGAAGGAAAGGGTTTGAAAGTAATTTATCTTCTGAAAAGTAATGGTAACTAACTTCTAAATGGTAAAAGGGCACATCTCTAGAGAAATGCTATTCAATTGATTTGAAGATTGGTTGAACAAATAATGGGAAAGTCATACGCGTGGCAGAATTACATTCGTAGTTTCGCTCACTCTAGACGTTTCTGTGTTATCTGCTGTGGCTCAGAAAAAAAAAATGCGTTCTCCCTGGACAAATAGTTTTGATTTATCGGCACTGAAAGCTCTTTATGTGGATTGTCAGATTTCAAAGATTTCACACGACAAAGATTCGTTTGATGCTAAAACTATAAACAGGGACGCAAACGCTCTCTATTCTTTCCTGCGAAGGAGGTGGAGGTAGAGCCTGGTCTCCGAGGTCCTGAAATAGTCACCATGGGGGAAAATGACCCACCTGCTGCCGAAGCCCCCTTCTCCTTCAGATCGCTTTTCGGCCTTGATGATTTGAAAATAAGTCCTGTTACACCAGGTAGGTGGCACCAGGTATCATTTCTGCCCCGCTTCCCCTCCCCCATATAGATGATGGATGTGGCTGAGTGTTCCTCTGGAGAAATATCTCCCCAGGAGCCCTCACACCCACAGGCCGCTTCCTCGTGTTTGCAGAATCCTGGAGAGAAGGGGCATTAGGGGGGCCGTCACTTTGTTTAGCCTCTTGCCAACTCCCTGGAGATAGGTGTTGGTATTCTCTGGATGGAGGTTTTCTGAAATCGAGGCTCCAACTGCCCCTGGGAGTTAGGGGTCAGATCCTGGCCAGGAAATCTCTGAGCCCTCCAGGAATTCCTGACAATCAGTGGTCACCAGCCCTTCCAGAAAACTTAAAATAAGCCGGTTGCCCTAACGGTATCAGATACCTAGATTAAAATTCAACAGCAGGTGACGGAGTTGCTCCTAGCAACTGAAGGAAGGAAAGTTGGTTTTGGAAATGGGTCATAAATGCTTGGAGAAATGGCAGACTCCTTCATGCCTGGATAGGATCTTTTTGGCAAAGACCCTATCAGGACTTGTCACAGGAAGCTGTGGCTCCCTGGTCCTGGCTGCAGTCAGGAAGACTGAGCCCAGGGGCTGGGCAGAGGGACATCTGGGGCCCCTGGCTAGGGTTCCAGAAAGCATGGCATGGGGGCCGCACTAACAATTCCTTTTAAACCACCTGGACAGCTGATGTGGACCGATGGGAGGTGGGAGAAGAGGTTTCAAGTAAGGGAAAATATACACAATTTACAAATGCTTTTGAAAAATTAGCATCAGTGGAAATGAAGAAAAAACATCCTGCAGTTACCTAACCACCCAAACTTAGCTAGTTTTTACATTTTCTTCATTCTCTCCATGTCCTTGACCATAAGTATACACTCACAGGCAGTGCAGGTGCAGACAGGCGTTTTTCCATGTGCTTTTTGGTTTTCTAAATGCCCTTTTTTATAGGATCAGGTAGGTGTGTAATTTACATAGCCATTTTGGTCATCATTTGACATATAATTGTTTCTAATATTTTATAATATAAATCATAACATGAATAGCACTATACATGTTCTTTTCTGCTAAGTTTTGATCATTTCTTCATGATTAATTCCTAGTCATGGGAAGGAATAAAAACTTTTTTAAACTTTTCTTTTTAAATAAACCAATGCATTGTTTATGAGGGAAATTTAGGAAATACAGTTAATCAAAGTTTTTTTAAGATGAACCACAATTTTACTCTTACTCAGAGATAAACCTATTAGCACTTTATAATTTATTTCTTGCCTTTTTCCTATCAACATATCTGCATTTCTCTTTGGAAGTGAAATATGAAGGTAGACCCCAGAGATATTTTGGGTTTGGTTCCAGACCACTGCAATAAGCAAATATTGCAATAAAATGAGTCACACTAATTTTTTAGTTTCCCCATACGTATAAAAGTCAAGTTTATTCGATAGCATAGTCTATTCAGTGTGCAATAGCCTTATGCCCCCAAACAATGTACATACCCTAATTAAAAAATTACGTTTTAACTTAGTTAAACAATTCATCGCTAAAAAATGCTAGTCTTTACCTGACTACACAGTGTTGCTACAAAGCTTCAATTTATGAAAACTGCAACACCAGCAAAGCGTGATAAAACGAGGTCTGCCTGTACTATTTGTATGATTTTGAAGCTTATTTTTTTTAACTTAAAAATATGTTCATCTTTCCATGACATTAAATAATTAAATAGCCTTTAAGGCTTGGCAAACTATGGCCCCTGGGCCGAATCTGGCCCGCTGTCTGTTTTTATAAATAAAGTTTTATTGGAACACAGACATATCCATTTATTCACATTTTGTCTGGCTGCTTTCAAGCCATAGCTGCAGAGTTGAGAAGTTGTGACAGGGACCACTTATGGCCCATAAAGTTTAAAACATTTATGATCGGGTCCTTCACAGAAAAACGTTGCCGACCCCTCTCCTCTATCATTTTAGATATTTCTATACCATTTGTTATTTCACCACCTCCCTTTTGTTGGTCACTTAGGCTGTTTCCATATGTCCATGCATCAATATTATCAAGGTCACTCCTTTAAGTGTCCTTTACATAGAGATTTGTGTACATCTGTGATGACTTTTTAGGATAAATTCCTAGAAGTGGAATTAATAGGTCAAAAATTCTATCCATTTTTTAGCTTTTTGGTACATATTTCCAATTTGACTGTCAAAAAGTTTACACAATTTATACTCTTATGGGCTGTTAAGTGGAGATCCATTTCCTTTCACTTTGGACTGCAGTGGAAATAGTAGTAGTAGTAGTAATAATAATACATTGCAAAGGTGATATGTAATTATGTCTAATTTGTGGTGTTTTTTTCGTTTCCAGAGGGGTGGAAGGTTTTTTGTGTGTGTGCTTGTTTATCATTTGCATTCCTCCTTTGAAGAGATGCTATACCTTTTGCTTTTTATTCCAAGCATGACCTCAAAGACAGGGCAAGGAGGAGGGGGACCACAGTGGGACCATAGGGCACGCGGCCGAGGAGCCGTAAAGTGGCAAATGTGAGCTGATACAAAGGCGCTGTAATTGCAGGAGGGGCTGTAACTGCAGGACACTCTTTGGATCTACAACTGGGGCTCACTTCCTAAACCTCACTCTTAGATACTGAACAGCTAGAATGATGAGAAGTCATTCTGGGGTTCCTGCTGAGTTTTAAAGTGTGACTGGAGAGCCGGCATCTCAGTAGGGAGAGTGACTGATTGGGGCAGACTTCTGGAGGCGGGGGAGGTGGAGAGGAGGGGTCTGCTTTGCTGACTCTAAATGGGTTATCCTGAAAGGAACTGGTCTCTGGCCTTGAGATAAAACCACGTTCATTATCCCGAAACCATCCCCAAACCAACCATCCATCCATCCATCCATCCATCCATCCATCTATCCATTCCTTCAATCTACTAACATTTACTGAGGACCATGGAATGGCTAGTGCTGTCCTAGGTGTTGAGAGTACAGCCTGGAACAAGCCGCCCGCTCCTGCATCCAAGGCTAAAGAAGGACCGTGCGGGTGGTCCCTCCGCCCTGCTCCACACTCACGGCACAGAGTCTGATGTGCATCTCCTATCCCCCCATTCTTCCCTTTCTGCTCCTGCTTTTTCCTTGTTTACTCTTTTCTCCTTTTTCTCCCATTTCATGGCTTTCTTTTTTCCATTTTTCTTTTCTAATTCACTTCTGTTTTGGGCAACCGGGAAGGGTACTGACCATTTTATAATCGCAGTCTTTATAGCCAGAGGATGAAGTTGTGGGTTTCCAAAGACAGACAGGGAGCCTCTTTTTGGCTCTTCCATGGGAGACTCTCGGCCCAACATCTCCAAGAGCAGGAGAACAGAGGCCAAGGCAGTCTCCGTCCTGTGTTGTCATGTGAGGCCTGGAAAGCTTCCTCCCCTCCCTACATTCTAACCTTCCTAATTATAACAGAGGACAACTTCAGCATAGATGTATTTTCAGGATTGATGAGATAATTTGCATGAAATGGCCTGTTCTCCTGAGAGTAAACGTTGCAGTGGAAATCCTCCTGTCGTCCAGAGAGGCTTGCACTTTTGGGTATCTTAAGCTGTTCACATCTTCTTTTCTACCAAATCAGCCTTGTTCTATAGGCAAGAACTGGGAAGGGTCTGGGGCTTTACCCTACTTGCAAGCTAACAAGTCAGCCTGCCCCAGTCCCACGGATGCTGGCAGAAGACACAGCCCTTCGGTCGGACACGTGTACACACAGCACAGGTGGCATGAGCGTCCTGTTTGAGTAGGTCACGCTTGCCTGCCAAGTCCCTCAGCAGCAATGTGGAGCGGCCCAGGTGCACGCTGTACACGCAGCGGGTCTGCATCACAGCTGAGGAACCCTGAGCTGAGGGAATACACATCTTTGATAATGGGCTTCAAACAGACATGCACAAGCTTTGTCCCAAAGGAAGAGGTGGTATTTATTAAGCCAGACAGTAAATAGTAACCTGTCCCTTGCTCTGGAGAAGGACACCATCTCTGTCTTCTAAGGCTGTTTGCTCTGCCAGCATCCTCCAAGAGATGGTCTGGAATAAAGGCCCTCGGTGTCTATGCTCAGGACTGGTGGAGAATGACCCGCACATCACCTGGTGACCCTTTCAGAGATCGCAGCTCTCTCTCTCCTGAAAGCACCCTGTTTGGGTTTTATATGTTGCCTTCCTCTGTAGGAAAACATCCTTGGGAGTTGGGGTTCTACCTCCCCTCCGTATTAGTTTCCTAGGGCCACCAAAACATCACAAACTCGGTGGCCTAAAACAGCAGAAATCTATTTTCTCTGGAGGCTAGAAGTCTGAAACTAAGGTGACCGCAAGGACTTGCTCCCTCTGACACCTGCAGGGGAAATCCTTCCTTGCCTCACCTTAGATGTTGGGGTTTGCTGATAAATCATGGGTTCCTTGGCTTATAGATGTATCACCCCCATCTCTGTCTTCCTCTTCACATGGCCTTCTGCCCGTGTCTCTTCACATCATCCTCCCTCTGTGTGTGTCTGTCTCTGTGTCTGAATTTCCCCTGTTTATAAGGACACCAGTCATTTTAGATTAAGGCCCACATTAATGACCTTGATTTAACTTGATCACCTCTGTAAAGACTCTATTTCCAAATAAGATGATATTCTGAGTTCTGAGGGTTTGAACATAAACCTGTCTCTTGGGGGACACAATTCAACCCATCACACCATCCCCTAACCGAGGACGGATGGAGCTGGGCTGGTGTTGGGGAGCTTGGGGCTCAACTTTTAGAGAACGTGCCCCCGGGTAGGCGGCCATTTCTCTAAGTCAACTCCCTTTGGGCTGGAACATTCTCTGCACTGAGGGCAGGGGGGATGAATAGCTAAATTTTGTTTTATTTCATTCAGATTCGCTATTCCGTGGCCTTTTGCTCTCCCCGCTTTTTGGTTTCTAGATGCCGATGCGGTGGCTGCCCAGATCCTGTCTCTGCTGCCACTGAAGTTCTTTCCCATCATTGTCATCGGGATAATTGCATTGATATTAGCGCTGGCCATTGGTCTGGGCAGTGAGTACGATCCATTATTTAGTAGGTTCTCAAATACCTGTTCAGGCGTTTAGACTTTCACGGGCTCCCCCCTCACACCAACCCGGGCCCGCCACACAGCCCTAATTACTAAGGCAAACACCCTCTGGGTTTGCTGATTTGAGCTTTATTTGCCGGCAGGATCGTGAAGCCGACCAGGGCCCCAGCGGGGGCCTCTGGCTGTGGTGGAGGTTTCGTCACCGAGGAGCCTCTGCCCAGTTAACAGTGGCCAAAGGCAGCTGATGGAACTGAACCCACAGGCAGGAGGGGGTGGGAGCGGGTGGAGGAGACAAGGAGGCCATTCATGCCAGGCCAAGCTGGGTTCCAAATAAGGTGCAAGTGGCTTTTGAGAAAGAGAGTCCTTTGAATGGTCCCTGATAGGGAACAATTTTGCATTTACTCTTCAAATAGGCGGATCTCAGATCAGTTTAACTCTCCACGTGCTCGGCTCTGGGGTCCACAGTTCCCTCACTTCTCGCCCAGGGTCAGAGAAGACAGGAGGTAGATTGGGGGCCAGGGGTCCTCTCTCAAGGCTCCTTGCTCAGCCGGCTTAGCCAGTCGGCCACAGCCACGCACTTTCTCTCTGGACCTTGAGCCACCGGAGTCTAAATTCATCTTGAGTTGTGGCTTGAGGTCACTTAGGGAGACACGGTGGGGTGCAGCTGCCCCGCCCGCTGGAATCTGGAACAGAAACTGGGCTGAGGGAAACAGGCTGCTGGCAGTGGTGCCGTTTCAACGCAGCTTTCATGACGCTTGGGCGAGCTCAAGGCCGCGTGGCAGGTGCACGGTTGTCAGTGCTGTGCACTGAAGCAGCCCTTCCCCGACCCCCTCCCTCCTTTCCTCAGTCCACTTTGACTGCTCCGGGAAGTACAGGTGTCGGTCGTCTTTTAAGTGTATTGAGCTGACGGCTAGATGCGACGGAGTGTCAGACTGCAAAGACGGGGAAGATGAGTACCGATGTGGTAAGGTCATGCCTTTTCAGAAGCAGAAGCAGGAGGACGTCAGTACAACCCGACCCTGACCTTCCCCATCTGAGAAATGGGTCCAAGGCAATGCCTTTGTTAAGTCATGGGATCCAACTGGCATTCAGCCCAGGAGACCCTGGGCTGGGTATTAAGGGAGGGTCCTTACATGGAGCTAAAATTGGGTTGGGGAGACTCTGTAAGCAACCAGAAGAGAGCTCCAAGAGAACTCAGGGGTCCAGACGATAAGAACTGTGGCCGCCCTGCGTGGGTGGGGCACTGAGCAGGGGCAGGTCAGACTCAGCACGGGAGGGTCTAGGCTGGCTGCAGAGAAATTCTGCCGGGTCTCAGGGCTCCTCAGGCCACTAACGACCTGTCTTCCTGTGCATTGGTCAGTCCGCGTGAGCGGTCAGAACGCCGCACTCCAGGTGTTCACGGCTGCCACCTGGAGGACCATGTGCTCTGAGGACTGGAAGAGTCACCACGCTACTGTCGCCTGTGCCCAGCTGGGGTTTCCAAGGTAATTCAGAGAGTGTCCAGCAGTGGGCAGGACATGAGCAGTGATCACGATGAGGGCAGACAGCTGCCGTTTAGCTGAGCATGCACAAGGCACCTGGACATCCCCATGGCAACCCCGCGATGCCTGACATCACAGGTGCGCAAACCAAGGTCCCAACATGCTAAGTGACTTGCTCAAGGTCACATGGGACCTAGCATGTTTGGGGGCGTCTCAGGCCAGGACCCTAGATGCAAACATTCAATAAAGAGCTTCAGAGCTGAGGACTGAGCCCCCAGTTCCTCAGGCCACAGCTTTTGGGCAGCTTCCCGACACCACCCAGCTTGGTCCCACTTCCCAAGGAGCCCCAGAGAGCCAAGTTCGAAAAGTCAGGAATTTAGTGAATGTCCAGTTATTCAAAACAGTTGATTAGCAACAGGTGGAAGAAAGAAACAGGTAGAAGAAAGAACTATTGCAGTGGAATCTCCATGTTTCAACGTTCTGCGTTCCTTATGTGACTTTTTGCACTGGGGCGACACACTTTGGCCCTGATGCGGCCCCGTCCCTCCCCTGGCCCCTCCTTTGGGCCCCTGATAGCTGCTGTCTTCCTCGGGTGCCCAGGACTGCACTTCTGCTCCTCTTTGTGCCGGATTCTTGGAGTTCAAAACCAGCAGGCTCTGAGTACCCACACTCTCCTCAGGAAGTGGGCATCCCTGTTTGCGCCCAAGGAAACGGGCGTTAAAACCTCCACGCTCTGAGCAGGGAGCCCTGACTTGCAAATCTGATGCATCATATTCTCAACTCTTTTCTCCAAAGCCAGTGAAACCCTCCCTCCAGCCTGTATCCCTGAGATGTACCTCTTTCTCACCCGTGACAACCTGGATTCAGAAATCAGCTGCACTTCAAGCCCAACGACAACAGCAAAAGCACCCACACAATCGCCTTCAGGAATTATGTAGACTTGACCCCTCATAGGCAAGGAGGAAGTTTACATACCACACACACACAGCCCACATCACACACACCACAAACACACACACGCCACACACACCACGCGCACACATCACATCACACACACGCCAATTACACAGACACACACACAAACCCCACCACCACGGCTCACAGCTGAAAGCTTCCCTTGGGCATTTCTGCTCCATAGGAGGTAGTTCCTTGGACTCACTAGGGGGTGTCCCTTCTTCTTCCCGTCTGCCTCCCCTGCTTCTCCCTCCTGGACCACCTCCCTGCCCTGAATCCTTGGCCTCCCCTCTGTCCTGCAGAAGGACCCAGCAGCCCCTCTCTCCTTCTCCCAAACCTTCCCGGCAGTGCTCAGGCATCTCTGTACCCCAGCCGTCTGCGGAGAGGCTCCTTCCTTGTTCCATCTCAGGGCAAGTCTGGAGTATGCAATTTTCCAGTCTGTCCCCTCAACCTTGTCCATTTTCTTCCCTCTAAACTTGCTCTGTTCTTCCCTGTTTCTTCAGTTCTAAGATTTGCTTCTGTATCCTTTCTTGTTTATTCTTCCTATTTCTCTCTTGAAAGCCCTCCTTTGATCCCCTCTGCTCTACAGCGTCCTGTGTCAGAGGTCTGTGATAAAGAATAAAAGATAGACTGACAGCTCAGATTGCCTGGGTCCAAAACCCAGCACACGCAGCCCCGCCACATGACTGAGGCCTCAAAATAAGGCGAATAATAATACCAGCTTTAAAGGGTCGCTGTGAGGGTCAAGTGATCTTGGGGCTTTGAAGCCAGCCTGGACCGCAGGGATGCCCTATAAGAGTCTGTGGTCATGGTTGTTGTTACCACTGAGACTTTGACAATTTATGGGGCTCCAGGTGCAGCCTTTGGGGTCCCTTTGCATCACCCTCACCGCCCCACTGGTGGCCCAGTCCACCTGTATCAGGATCTCCATCTCGGTAACATCCGGCTCTTTCATCTGGTGCCTGACGTATCAGCGGGTTGAGCAATACCTGGGGAGGCTGGAAGGGTCATTGCTGCTGCCTAGATTACATTTTTCTCAAAATTCAAACCTGGCTGCACTTTGTACACCACGTACGCTGCCCGCGCCGCCCCCCAGCGCTTACGGTCACCTGATGAAATCATGCTTGATACGCTGGTGAGTTTGTGAGCGAAGCAAGCCAGCGACTCTGTCTTTTGTTCATTCCACGACCTCCCATCTCATAACTCTTTGGATGCCTGATTTGAAAAATATTATTCCCTCTTTTCCATCATTCTCCAGACCTGTTTCCTGACCCTTTAAACACTGGCTTGTCCTGGTGCCCCCGAATCTCTCCGTCTACATGCTCATCTCTCTGTAACGGGAGCCCTGCCAGCTCTGGGCAGCCTGGGAAAGTATTTCATCCCCCCCCACCCCCAGCCTATCGTACCTGGGGCGCTCAGCATCCCCACTTCGGTGCTCACCTGAAAACACTCCACCCAATTCTGTGTTCTGTTCCCTCTGAGGCTCGCTTCAGGCCAAGCGAAGGTCAGTTCAGCTCAATGCATCAGGGAGTGTCCCCCCAGCTACGTCACGAAGTGGTCCTCCCTTGCATGTGTCTGGAGCCCATGGTGGGTGGATGGGCTGTGGGGAGAGGGTCACCCCAGACTCTTCCAGGTCTGGAATACCTTGCTAAGTTGGCAGAAGGAAGCCATTGACGGTTTGGGGCTGCAAAATGACTCCCCTCCCAGTATGATACCTGTATCCTTGTGACTTGAGCCCAGGTAGATTTGCTACAGAGTGAATTCCACACATCAGGTCTGTGTTTCCATTGTACTTGCAGCTATGTGAGTTCGGACACCATCAGAGTGGATTCACTGGAGGAGCAGTTCCGAGAGGACTTCGTTTCCATCAATCACCTCTTGCCAGATGACAAAGTGACCACTTTACACCAGTCGGTGTACGTGAGGTAAGCGGCCAGGTGGTGCCGTGTCCACTTATGTCCACTCATCCGCTGGACTTGTGCATGAGGTTGTGTTCTCCAAGTGCAAGGTGCGGGTTTGGCCACTTTGGTTAGAAGGGTGGACGCACCAGGCTGGGGTACAAGAACTTAATCCCAAGCCAGGCAAATACAGCCCAACAGACAGAGGGAGGAAGGATGGTAAAGGGGTCCCGTGATGCGCGTGTCATAAATGCAGCATTGCACCGTGCACACAGTGGGCACTGCTGATGTGTTTGGGGAAAGGAAGGGAGGGAGGGAGGAGAAAAAATATTAGAAAGAAAGAAATTAAGAAAGAAATTTGTATTTGTATCCTTTGTTTACAAAATACTTTAATGTTCACCATTAGTATTACATGTTTCCCCAAAGAAGTCATAAGGGAGGTAAAACGAGGTATCCTTAAATGACAGTCAGGTACCTGAAGCTTACGGGGCCACCTGTCTGGTGCACAGAGGTGCGTCAGGCTTTCTGAACCCACGTTCCATGTGCTCTTCCTGACTCCTTGGACCAAACCCCAAGAGGAGTGTTCCCTGCTCCAGGAAACACCTGCCTGTCAGCCTATTGTGCGATTGACAGTCGCTCCTGAACCCACAGGAAATCTGCAGGGACAGTTCATCTCTTGGGTCCTAAAACCTCAGTCTGGTGACACTAGCTTTTTCTTGCATGGCCATGTGACAGGACTGGGGCTCTAAAGGCAGGAAATCTACAAAGGGATCTACAAAGGGATCCCAGGGTGGATTGTAACATGAGCACCCACCCACGCAAGGGACAGTGTGTGTCATTTCCCGGGCAATCACATCTCAGCGCTGGAGGTGGCGGGAGGTCTTCTCTGACATGCATGTGTCCCAGGCTGCAAGGACTTTGTGGCAGGAGAGCCACAAAACTGACATGCAAATGACACCAGTGTATATTTATATAATATAGCTCATTATGCATTTCTTATCATTAGCTATACAAAGCCTAGAAATGCTCAACACCTGGTCACACACACCATACCTCACTGTAGTCACGTGTTTTATAATGAATTGTGTGACCTCACTCTCGTGGGTTTTTTTTTTATAGACTAAAATTATAATCTGTATTCAAGAGCAGGGGAGTAAAGTTTATTTTTCTTTTACCCCAAGATTTAAGTAAAAAAAAAAAAAAAAAGTGTTCAGTTCACAGGCCTCGGGTATTTATCATTAAACGCATTCTTTTTCCACTTTAGGGAGGGATGCACCTCGGGTTACGTGGTTACCTTGAAGTGCTCAGGTGAGAGTTACAGAAACGCAGAGAGAAACGGAAGGAAGCCCTGGCTCACAGGCTCCTGTCCTCCCTCCCCGCTCCTTGGACCGCTCTGTTGGCAGTCCCTTCCTCCCAGGGGCCAGGTGGGAACTCTGTGACCCCCATCTGCCAGGTTGGTGAAGAGAGCCCTGGGTGACTTCTCAGCAGCAGACAGGACCACGGCGCACGATGTCCTGTCCTTCCGTGGTGGCTCCAATCGAGTGACTCTCTGTCACCTTCTCTTCCCCACCCCTCCTGCCAGAAAAGTGTGCACGGGCTGCTTAGTGCCCGCCCCCAGCCTGGGCAGGCACCCTGTGTTCCTGGCAAGGGGGCGCCGTACCTGGTGCTGTGTCCTGACGGGCTTTTCCCACTGCACCCCTACAGCACCCTGCTTGTCCCACGCCGCAGGTGACCTGCCCCCCGACCCCCATCCCTCACCCTGTGCTCCTGCCAAAGCTCCCGCCCCTGCCCCTCCCTCTCGCTCTGCAGTCTGCGGTCTGAGGACGGGCTCCAGCCCGCGCATCGTGGGTGGCAACGTGTCCTTGCTGGCGCAGTGGCCCTGGCAGGCCAGCCTGCAGTTCCAGGGCTACCACTTGTGCGGAGGGTCCGTCATCACCCCCGTGTGGATCGTCACTGCTGCCCACTGTGTTTATGAGTGAGTTCTCCTGACCTCCTTGCCGGGGGTCCTCATCTTCTGCAGACCCCCATCCCAGTCCGGGCCATGTTGGGACAGGGCTGATTTGGGTGGTCGACAGCAGGGCAGGTCCAGAAAGCAGGAAGACAGACCGGATGGTCACAAAGTAATGTCCATGGGGCGGGACACCTTCCTTCTTCACTGTGGATCCAGCTCCAACAGCTGGGTGAGACTGGTGACCCCGGGCTCATTTTAAGGATCCCTGGCCTGCAGCTCTTACAGAAAAGAGAGAAGGAAGAGGAAGGAAGCTCTCGCAGGAGGGAACCCAGCAACGTAAAGGCCCTAGGCCTCCCTGTAGCTCATCACAGTGGACTATGCCGTGGCCGAGAGGGAGAGGGAGGGTGCAGGGTAGGCAGGGGTCTCCCCAGAGCCACCCCTCCTTGAATCTCTCTCCAGGGGGGTGGCTTGGAAGAAAACCACAGAAAATACTTCCAAACACAGGGGCAATTGTCCCCGTTATTTCCACCTCCCTCAACTTCGGTTTCTGATGGAGAATAGACCCTGATGGACTCTCACAGGGAGCAAAGTTCAGCTCACTTCTCAAATGCCCAGAGGTGCAAAGAGCAAGGCCTGTCTAGGAAATGCATGGGGTGGGTCTGTGCTTCTGCTGGGCTTGGTGGGGGGGACGTCTGCTGGCATCTCCTTAGCACCGGCTCTCGGGACACCTGAGGGGTCCGTGGGTTAACGTGCTTGGGGCTTTCTCATTTTAGTCTCTACCTCCCCAAGTCATGGACCATCCAGGTGGGCCTCGTTTCCCTGCTGGACAGTCCAGCCCCCTCCCATCTGGTGGAAAAAATCATCTACCACAGCAAGTACAAGCCAAAGAGGTTGGGCAATGACATCGCCCTCATGAAGCTGGCCGGGCCTGTCACTTTCAATGGTACGTCTGGGTCTCTGTCATTTTGTTGCTATCCTTTGTTTCAAGAGAATTTGAATTGCTTGTTGAAGCATGGTGATGAAGGCTGCCTTACAATCTCGCCAGATAATTCCAATATGTGATTCATTTCTGCATTGGCCTCAGTTGACTGTCTCTTTGTCTTAAAGTTGTGATTTTCCTGGCTCTTGGTATGATAAGAAATTTTCAGTCATATTCTGGTCATTTGGGCCATCGTGTTAGGAGACGTACATCTTCAGTTTTAGCAGACTGTCACCCTGTTCAGGTTCACTATGCCTGCTTCTGTGGGCTGTGGTTCTGATGATTATTTGATTTCAGAACCTGTGTGGTTCTACTTTGGTCAACTTGGTTTGGCTGGGGCCACTGGGGCCCTCACTTTTGCTACTTCCTTTCTGCTGGTACCACCTGGAGATTAAAGGGACTTCCCCAGGCCAGACCACCCGGTGCCTGTGGGTGGTAGAAGGGGGTCTCAGGCGCATGGGAACAAAGAGCTTTTTCTTGTTTCGTGTTTATTGTGGTGAGGTCCCCACCCATCTGCCTGGTGTCTCAATCTTGGCTGAGAAAGAGAGGGCCTCCCAGGCCAGCCAGCTGCTTGTGGTGGGATCTTCCCTGCAGCCCTTTCTTTACAAGTCAGAAGACACTGGGAATCTCCAGCTCCTGGAAATACTCAGAAACGTTCTCTCCCAACCAGCTGCTGAGTTCAGAGGCTCTGTTTCTCCACAGAAATGTCAAGTCCTGACTCCTGGAGGTTTCAAAAACACCAGAAAAGCCACACGGGACAGAACTTTCCAAGATGTTGCAGATGCAACAAAGCATATGAGCCTACTCCTAAATAAGTAAAAGCCCTCTTCTGCTTCCCAAGGATTAGAGCGGCTCAGAGAGCAGCAGAGTATAATAAACAAGGCCCCTTGTTGGAGCAGAATCCTGGCTCAGGACCAGCAGCAGGTTGGACCTGGCAGAATCAACAGTGTGTTTATCACACAGCACGCAGAATTCTCCACGCATCACACTTGGAAACAAATATTTCTAGAGAAACAAAGAGAAATTGTAAAGGTGGTGTTTGTTTGTTAATTATGATTAATGACCCTTGGTTATAAAATAATGAGGTGCCAACACTTGCACTTTGACAAAAATTAAAATGAGTGCCCTTACCCCTTCTCTACCTTTCCATTATTGTCCTACCCCAAAAGCTTAGCGTGTCTCAGAATGCGGGCACATGAAGGCCCCGTGACAGTCTTTGGTGGAGGGCTTACATGACACAGCCCAGGTGGACAGGCAGGCTCGTCGCCTCCAGATATGTCAGGAGGGATGGGAATATTCACACACTGTTGGTCCATAAAGCAGCGTGCCCATGGTCTAGAACAAGAGCAGGCAGGCTATGGCCCATGGGCTGAATCTGACCCTTTGCTTACTTTTGTAAATAAAGTTTTATCAGCCCACAGCCTGGCCCATTTGTTCACCACGGCCCGTGGCTGCTTTCATGCTACTGTGGCAGAGGTGAGGGTTGAAACAGAGACCACGTGGCCTGCCAAGCCTAAAATATAAAGTATTTGGCTTTTTTTTTCTTTTTTGCTGTACGCGGGCCTCTCACTGTTGTGGCCTCTCCCGTTGCGGAGCACAGGCTCCAGACGCGCAGGCTCAGCGGCCATGGCTCACGGGCCCAGCCGCTCCACGGCATGAGGGATCTTCCTGGACCGGGGCACGAACCCACGTCCCCTGCATCGGCAGGCGGACTCTCAACCACTGCGCCACCAGGGAAACCCTATTTGGCTTTTTATAGAAAATATGCTGACCCCTGGTCTAGACTCCCTCATGTTGCCACGGTCTCCGGTTGTTTTAAAGTTTCAGGGCTCTGGTGGGCAAGGGGTCCCTACTCTGAGCAAATAGCTTCCAAACGACCAGGGACCTGGCCTTTCTCTGGGAGCTGGCTTGAGCTGCCAGAGCGGTAGGCACTGAGAAGACGGTTTTCTCAGACCACAGCTGCCACAGGCTTGAAATCTCTTGTTTCCTCTCCAAACAGAGATGATCCAGCCAGTCTGTCTGCCCAACTCCGAAGAGCACTTTCCTGATGGGAAAATGTGCTGGACGTCAGGCTGGGGGGCCACAGAGGATGGAGGTCAGTGTTCTGAAATCAAGATTCTGAGTCCAGGGTGCCTAGAACCGAGAGGGCTGTGGGCCTGCTCCCCAGGCTCCCAGTGTAATGTCCCCGCCCACGTGTCCCGGTAGGGGTGTAGCGCAGACCCCCAGCCGGCCACTGAGACATGAGAGGAATGGGAGGCGGGTGTGCCCCGTGGTGAGCCTGTAATACGTGAAGGTCACAGTTTACAGGCAGGTGAAGTTAGAGGGTGTCGATCTGTTTGGGTGGGTGGTGAGGCTGACCCACCACAGATGTGTTAGTTTCTTGTCGCTGCTGTAACAAATGACCCCAAATTTACTGGCCTAAAGCAATGCACGTGTATTACCTTACAGTTACGGGGATCGGAAGTCATAAATCAGTGTGTCAGGAGGGCTGTGATCCTCCCAGAGGCTCTGGGGGAGGATCTGTTCCCACGTGTTCCAGCCTCTAGGGCCCCTGCATCTCTTGCTTCTGCCCTCACCTCCACCTTCAAGCCAGCAGCACAGCATCTTCCAATCTCTCTCCCCTCTGACCTCCGCTTCTCCTATCATCACATCTCCTTCTCTGACCCTTTGAAGGACCCTTGTGATTACACTTAAGGTCCACCCAGAGAGCCCGGCATCGTGTCCCCATCTCAAGGTCTTATCACATCTGCAAAATCCCTTTTAGAAGGTGACACGGTTCCTGGTTCCAGGGGTTGGGATGTGGATGCCTTTGGGAGTACAAGTTTCTGCTGACCACCCCCAGGTTCCACCCCAAAGCTGTGAGTGGGATCTTCGTGTGCCTTAGTTTCCCTGCTGTCATCTGGGTTATTTTGGGAACTAAACAGACTGGTGTAGGTCAAGTGCTTGGCCCAGGACAGGCTCTGGCGGGGCGCGGGGGGGGGGGCCCTGTTGGCTACATTTGCCCCCCGTCCTCCCACATTGGTGACCTTAGGGAAGTGAGTGGCCCTGACATGAAGCAGCGGGGTCCCCCAGCCCACTCCCCAAGGGGCAGAGCTCTAAGGCCATCCACCTCCAGGCTTCCCCACCCACATGCAGGCCCCCTGAGTTCCTGGTGGGGGTCCCCCGCACCACACGAACCACCCCCTGCTCTGACCCAGGCGATGCCTCCCCGGTCCTCAACCATGCGGCTGTGCCTCTGATCTCCAACAAGATCTGCAACCACAGGGACGTGTACGGTGGCATCATCTCCCCCTCCATGATCTGTGCTGGCTACCTGAAAGGCGGTGTGGACAGCTGCCAGGTAGGGGCCCCTGGTGACCCCTGGGGGCCACGCTGCAAGCAAGGCGAGGCTCTGCTGTGGCAACCCAGCCTGCGGGAGAGGCCACCACCAGCATGTCCCTGTGACTGACTGAAAAGCAAATTTACAGGGCGTGGGAAGAAGTTTGCTCAGGATATCAGTGTTTACCCAACGCTCCCCTCTGCCTGGGTGCTGGGCAGTGGGAAGGGTCTCGGAGTTTGCAGAGGGACCAAAGGGGCAGAGGGCAGGTGGGAACCAGGGAATCCAGTCTGCAAAGCTACAGTGGGCGAGACTCCAACACTGCCTGGTCCAGCCGAAGCCCCTGGCCAGGCAGACCCTCCCTCTGGAGCATCCCTCTGTTTCCCCAGCTGCCTTGACCTTCGTGGGTTCAGGGTACCGAGATCTGGCAGGGAGACGGCTGGAGGGGGACCGTCCCCAAAGGATAAGGACCCCACTATTAGGGGTACAAGTCAGTTCCAGAAGGACTGGGGGGTGAATGCAGAGCCATCTTTGTGCTGTATTTTGTGATAGAGTGAAGGGGGGGATCCTGCCACCAGGACAGGGGACACACCATGGCAGTGCCTGTTGTGTGTCCTTTGCTCTTTCCTTGTCATCTAGGGAGACAGCGGGGGGCCCCTGGTGTGTCAAGAGAGGAGGGTGTGGAAGTTGGTGGGAGCCACAAGCTTCGGCATTGGCTGTGCCGCGGTGAACAAGCCCGGAGTCTACACCCGCATCACCTCCTTCCTGGACTGGATTCACGAGCAGATGGAGGTGGGTGCAGCGCCGCCCCTGCCCTGGAATCCCATGCTGGTGCCCGTCAGTCAGTCCACCTCTGGCATCCCTTCCGTGGGACCCCAGTCGTGCTGTCCGGAGCCAGGGAGTGACCAATCAGTTATCGATTTGTCAAGCAGTGACTTTGTGCTTCTGGGCGTTAGACTGAGCAGGGCTAATCCCACAGACAAGGCCCTGGTGGGGTGGGCATGGCAGGTGGGCACACACAGGGCCAGTGTTGCTGGGACGTGAAGGAAACGTGCTTCCACCAACTGGGGAAAGGAGGAGGGGCAGCCGAGGAAGAGCCCTGGGGGACGGGAACCAGCCAGGTGGGCACGTGTGGGTGTGGAGACAGGTGGGGGATGGTCTGGACCGGAGGCCCCGAATGCCCACTGGGGTGTTTGGACCTTGCCAGGAGCCAGGGTGGGATGGAGAGTCTCTAATCAGGAGGGGTCTGGGCGGTTCTGTGCTTTGGGGGGACCTCCCTGTGGGCGGTCGGGGGTGGTGCTGGAGGAGGGAGATGGGTCAGTGAGGCTGGCTTGGCAGGACCAGGGCTGGCAGGGGGAGCCCTGGTGATGGCGGGAGGAAGAATGGGACGCCCAGGGACAAGGAATGCCCCAGCCTACTCCAGGCCCCAGTGCAATGGCTTAGAAGACAGGGGGAGACACGCACCCAGGGAGCGAGAGCCTGGACAGCCCGGCCTTCCACCCCACGGGCGCACAGCAGATGTTTGCGGACCTGATCACCGGCTCTGAGTCCCACGTCAGCCCTTGGACCAGTTTCAAAGCACTTTGTTTTTTTTTTTTTTGGTGTATTTTGTTGTTGTTGTTTTCGTTGGGTTTTTTTGAGGCAAAATTTACACAGAGTGAAACTGACCATTCTAAAGTGAAAATCTGGGGGCATTTAGCCCGTTCACGATGTTGGGCTGCTGCCGTCTCTACCTAGTTTCAGAATATTTTCATTTTCTGGAAGTAAGACTTCATTAAGCAGTCACTCCCTGTTCCCTGTCCCCCGGCCTCCAGTGACCAGTAATCTGCTTTCTGTCCTGGTAGATCAAGACCTTTAAAATGCTCCTTTTAATTTAAAGCATTTGGCTAAGAAGGACCAAACTCCTCAAGTGCCTTGGTGTTAATTTCCACTTCTTCCTCCTTGAATATTTGCCTTAAATCAGGAGCTACGAGCAGGGCTGAGACCCCAGGACTGGGCCTGGCTGGAATTCCAGCCCTGCTGTCGTATAGCTGTGTGTTCTCGGCAGGCATATCGTGCCAGCCCATTGCAGGGCAAGGCTAGGAGATAGGCCTGCCGGGGACTTCTGCTGGGGCTCATTTTGCTGTTAGCTGACCGCCTGGCCCAGCGCTGAGGGCTGTGCAATGCTCTTCAGCCCCCAATTCAGCCCAAATCCCTCACCCCCTCAGAAAACAGACATTTGAAAGAGCAGCCTCCTTGCTGCAGTGGCTGCAGACAGCCCGTGAGCAGGATTGAGAGGGGTGAGGGTCATGTGGGCCGGGGGGGGGTGGGGGCGTCACGTGGGCGTAGGGAGTGGAGGACCCTCTGATTTCGCCCAGGGAGCCTCGGAGGTGCAGCTCCACGACGCTGCTCCCAGGCTCAGAGGGTCCATGTGACCAGGCTTGCTGCAGGGGTAGGTTGAAGATGTCCGGCCCAGTCCTGAGCTGGTGGGGAGGACCAGGTTCCAAAATCAGTCTGGAAGGTTCTGACAGAGGGGTCCTGACCTCTCAGCCCATTTCCCCCCAGCACCGCCCTGGCTGTGGGGCCCTAGGACCATTCCCATATTAGAGGTGAGGGGACCCACATAAGCCCCCCGCCGAGGCTAATAAGGGCAGGGCATGAGTCTAACCAGCTCCGTGAGCCCAGCCCCCCACCCTGCAAAGCTCAGTGATGGATCTCCAAGCGGGGCCACAGAGCACTCCTTCTGGCTGCTCGCTAGCGTTGAGGGTCCAGAGGGTCTGATCGGACGCCCTGGCAATTCTGAGGCAGGGGTCTCCGGGGCACACTCTGAGGACGTGGGGGGATTTTAGAAAGGGCTCCTCTTCCTCCCAGAGCTCGAGAAGCAGGTTCTTCTGGATGTAGGTGGACGGCTCTCCTGAGGCCTGGGAGAGCACCTCAGCCACGGCAGCCTCTGGCATCTGAAGGCCTGTGTGAGTCATGCCTCTCTTCAAACGTCTCTGGGACGACCCAGAAGAGGCTTCCCTCCCATGAGAGTTTTCCAGTGGGCCTGCATTTTTATTTATATTTTATTTTTTGTGGTACGCAGGCCTCTCACTGTTGTGGCCTCTCCCGCTGCGGAGCACAGGCTCCAGACGCACAGGCTCAACGGCATGTGGGATCTTCCCAGGCCGGGGCACGAACCCGTGTCCCCTGCATCGACAGGCGGCCTCTCAACCACTGCGCCACCAGGGAAGCCCCGGGCCTGCATTTTTAGTTGTTTCTTTTGAACCTTGATGTGAGGGCCTTCCAATAGCTCTCACACCTCGAGGGGAATCACCCCATTTTTTAGCTGATGCTGAAGCTTGCTGCATCACCTTCATTTTCATCCAGTAGTTTTCTCTCTCTGCTGGACGCTTAAAACGAAATTGTTGCAACTCAAAGAGAGACACAGGAACACTGATACTAAGAGCTGGAAACGATGGAATAGTCGCAGGTTGATGACGGAGACGGCGGGGGTGTGGCAGGTTGGAGGTGTGACACAGGGAAGGGGAGCTATTTCACACTTACCCGGGATCCGCATGGAACAGAGGCCAACTTTGTCCCCATCAGTTGTGAACAGCTGACGCTCCACTCAGGGTACAGTCAGGTGCTCACTCCATCTAAATATTAGAGAGATGGCTTGAAGCGCTGAAAAAGATAATACCTATGTTTTCATTTCTAGAGGGACCTGAAAACTTGAAGAGAAAGAGGCAGGTTACCACCTTGAGTTCCAGCCAAGACGGAGACATCCCTGTCCTTCCATGGATTCTAACAGCAGAGCCAAAAGAAGGAGCATCTTTTCGTTCCTCTACATCTAGAGCAATTTTCTTCTATCACCTCTAACAAGCCAGAGGGACATTGGACTAAAATGACCCCGAACCTCCTTTCTGATCTTCACTAAGAACAGAAGCAGGAATGCCTCCGAAGTGCTACAGTTTCCTTGTCCATCTGGTTTCCTCCCCTGCAAAGCGATCCACACCTTAGCCCCTCAACAAAGACACGGCAGCCTGGACCTGCAGGAGTGTGGTCAGTGCAGATGCAGCTGTCTGCACCTTTTTATCCGGGCACCAGAACCTAACCAATTTTCTACCAGGATCTCCTTTGACATGTGGGAACTTAAGATCATAGTTTGAGGTTTATTTCTGGTATTTTTTGTAGCCTTTGGTGCTTGATGTATCATTGTCCCTTGCTTCCAGAGGATGTCCCCTTTCTTAGTGCATTCATCCCTCCGAGCTTGTCTGAATGAATCTTGACTGCTCGTATAAGCTTAATTCAAGAGGCTCAATTAATTTGATCTCTTCTATATCCATCGTGGGTTTTGTATTTTCTGTTAGAACGGGTTTCTCGGCAGATCAGAATTATCTGCTATTACATCACCGTGCTCAGAAACAGAGTAAGAAAAGAAAGTACTAAGCCAAAGCCATCTAAACCTCACACAACGGTACTGAGGCAGACTAGACAGTCTCAAGTCGTTAAGAGGCCAGAGGTTTCCCTACCTCTCTGTATGGGCCCATTCATCTCCCACGCAGCTGCAGGATTAGAGACCCCTTTCTGTACCCACACACCTTCTGCAGTCCACATAACACACACATAACAGAGGAAGGTTACCTGGTAAGTAATCACTGTCCAGTGGTGCTTTATCACAAATGACTTCATCAGAATATGAATCCGTTGCTTTGCCTGAGGTAACAGTGGGAAAGATGGGTGAGTTTCAAAGAGCTCAGAGATGGGTCCATGTACCCGGGGAAGGGCCGGCTCCAGGAAGCCTCCATGTGTGAGAAGGGGATGGGGGAGATAGGGAGGGAGAACTAAGGGCAAACCTCATTTGGATGCACCTCACTGTATCACAGTCACTGCACAGATCTCTGTACATGTCAGAAGTGACAAGACCATTTTTATTTTAAGTGTGTCTGCCCAGCTCTCTTTGAAAGCAGTGGTAGCTCACCAAAGCATCTTGAGAAAGAGGAACAAAGCTGGAGGTATCACTCTCCTGATATCAAACTATCCTACAAAGTTTCAGTCATCAAAACAGTATGGTACTGGCACAAAAACAGACACACAGATTAATGGAACAGGATAGAGAGCCCAGAAATAAACCCACACTTATATAGGCAATTAATCTACACCAAAGGAGGCAAGAATATACAATGGAGGAAAAGACAATCTCTTCAGCTACATGCAAAAGAATGAAACTGGCCTACTTTGTTATACCATGCACAAAAATAAACTCAACATGGATTAAAGACTTAAATGTAAGACCTGAAACCACAAAATTTGTAGAAGAAAACATAGGCAGTAAAATCTTTGACATTGGTATTAGTATTATTTTTTAGATCTATCTCCTCAGGCAAGGGCAAGAAAAACAAAAATAAACAAATAGGACTATATCATACTAAAAAAACATTTTGCACAGTGAACAAAACCATCAATAAAACGAAAAGTCTGCCTACTGAATTGGAGAAGATATTTGCAAATGGTATATCCAATAAGGGGTTAATATCCAAAATATATAAAGAACTCATACAACTCAATAGCCAAAAACCAAACAATCCAATTTTAAAAGTGGGCGGAGGACCTGAATAGACATTTTTTCCAAAGAAGACATAGAGATGGTGGACAGACACATGAAAAGATGTTCAACATCAATAATCACCAGGAAGATGCAAATCAAAACCATCATGAGGTATTACCTCACACCTGTCAGAATGGCTATTATCAAAAAGAACACAAATAACAAATGTTGGTGAGGGTGTGGAGAAAGGGGAACCCTTGTGCACTGTTGGTGGGAATGTAAATTGGTGCAGCCACTATGGAAAACAGTATGGAGGTTCCTCAAAAAAATTAAAAATAGAACTACCATTTGATCCAGCAATTCTGCTTCTGGGTATTTACCCAAAGAAAACAAAAACACTAATTGGAAAAAATATATGCACTCCTGTGTTCGTTGCAGCATTGTTTACAATAGCCAAGATATGGAAGCAACTTATGTGTCCATCAGCAGATGAATGGATAAAGAAGATGTTGTGTATATATACAATGGAATATTATTCAGCCATAAAAAAGAATGGAATCTTGCCATTTGTGACAACTTGAGTGGACCCTGAGGATATTATGCTAAGTAAAATAAGTCAGACAGAGAAAGACAAACACAAAAATGAAAGAAATATTTCACTTACACGTGGAATCTAAAAAACAAAACAAATGAGCAAACATAACAAAACTGAAAAAGACTCATAGATACAGAGAACACATGGGTGGTTGCCAGAGGGGAGGGGGGTGAGGGTTGGGTGAAATGGGTGAAGGAGATTAACGGGTACAGAGTTCCAGTTGTAAAATAAATAAGGCATATGGGGATGTAACGTACAGCACAAATATAGTCAATAATACAGTAATAAGTTTGTATGGGGACAGATGCTAACTAGACCTATCCCAGTGATTGTTTCATAATGTATTTAAATGTCGAATCACTCTGTTGTACACCTGAAACTAACCTAACATTGTACGTCTGCTATACTTCAATAAAAAAAACAATGTCCTATAGGAAAAAAGAATAAGAAATCATCGAGTTCTTCAGATTTCGGTCTATAATGGTATCATGGCACATAATCATTTGTTAGTTTAAATAAACCCATATAACTTCACTAAATTTACCCTGTTATACATAAAATAATACTCCAATTAAAAAAAAAAAAAGAAAGTAGTGGTAACTCAGGTATTGAAGATCCAAGCTGTGAAAAGTTGAAAGATTTCATATGTGATCATCTCAGTTTTGAAAACTTGACTTTGGGGTCAATGCACTTTAGCCTGTTGTGGTTTCCTTCTGCTAGCTTGTTGGGAAAGACTTGCTGTCTTACATCTTTCAAAGGGTGCTGGATAATACTAATGGTGGGGAGTTACTCGGTGTGTGCTGGGTCCTGACCCTGTTCCCTACGCTTACCTGCTTCATCGTTACAGCACCCCTACGACACAGGGTTTTGCCACTAGTTCCAGTCACAGATGAGGAAACCGACTTGTGAAAGTGACGAGATTTTCCCAAGACCACACGTCGGGCCAGTGGGGTACATCATACCAGCAGGAATTAAAGCAATTAACTAATTGCAAAGCTACATTCTTTCACATTTGAGTCCAAAGGGACTTTGTGCCACCAGTTTGAACCCATCTGAGATGCAGTAGTGATTCAAAGTCGTGATCGACTTTGTCCTCTAGAAACGTTTGGTTCCCACGGAGCCGTTTGCTGGCTTAAGGTTCTCGAGTAAAGCGGTTTGTCATCTTGTTCCTTTTCTCCTGTGGCTACAACAACTTGACACCTACCTCACACCTGGCAGCCAGGCCACAGCAGGAGCTGGGAGAGAAGGCCATGGCTGGAGCATCCCTAACCTGCAGCCCAGCCGCAGCCAGAGGAACACACCATAGATGAGGTGGGCTGCCTCCCCTGACGGCTCAGACCTGAAGAAGCAGATGTGGGGCATCCGTGTCCCGAGGTAGTAAATGAGGGAGCCTCACCTGCGCCCAGACATCCAGGACAGTGGCTGGGAAACAGCTCCTCTCCCTCTCCCTCTCTCTCTTTCTCTGTCTCTTTCTGGTACTTTAGTATTTGATATGGCTGTATTTAAATATGTTTATAAGAATTGCAGAAGACCTAACAATATTATAGAAAGCTTGGAAACAGAGTATTAAAAATTGGTCCGGGGCTTCCCAGGTGGCGCAGTGGTTAAGAATCCGCCTGCCAATGCAGGGGACACAGGTTCGATCCCTGGTCCAGGAAGATCCCACATGCCGCGGAGCAACTAAGCCCGTGCACCACAAGTACTGGAGCCCATGCGCCTAGAACCTGTGCTCCGTAACAAGAGAAGCCACCGCAATGAGAAGCCCGCGCACTGCAACAAAGAGTAGCCCCCGCTCGCCGCAACTAGAGAAAGCCCACATGCAGCAACGAAGACCCAACACAGCCAAAAATAAATAAATAAAATAAATAAATTAAAAAAAATAAAAATTGGTCAACAACTTGAATACTGTAATTGGTCACAAAATCTGTTAGTTGCCTCCCTTCTCTAATAGGAGGGCTTCTGGCCGGGAGCTGAGGAATCTGTTGAAGTCTATCTCTTCCAATTCTCACCTGGAGAGACCACCTGGGCTGTGCAGGAAGATGCCAGGACAGTCTGGCTGTGGATCCCCCGCCCTGTCACCCTGTCCCACAGCCCAGCCCGGGAGCCACTGCTGGTGGAAGACGTTCCAGGTGTGGGCGCAGCTGTACTGGTCTCAATGTCCAAAGGCTTCTCTGCAAGAATTTCCCAACAGCAGCAGTGGGGTTGGGATACTTCTGCAGGAGCCAAGCCCTGATCTAACGGGCAGGGGCAGGTGCATTTTCCGATGGCCTGGCCACCAGCACCGGGGAGGCAAAGGGACGTGCCAGCAGTAAGCAAGAAGAATCCAGTTTCTGCTGCAGAATCGTAAACAACACTGGCTTCCAATCAATTAATTTAGACTACTTACTCGCTGGGCCACGTTTTCCCCACAGCGTGAAAAATCCTGGCTGACTTGTTGCATCTCAGTGACTTGCAACACAACGTCTTCTGTGTCTGGCCCAGCTCCGCACCAAGAACTGTGGCCTGTCTCACCTGCTTGGGAGCAACTTCTGGAGACTGGCTACCTTTTATTCACCTGCACATCCCAACATCTAGACCAGGACCCAGAAGCTGCTCATGGACACGAGTGGAGTGACCGAATGATGACTATGAAGTAAATGCACCACCTCCATGGACTATACCTGAATGCCATTGTTTCATAAACCAGCACATATTATGTATGGAAGTAGGTGAAAATCAACCTAATGATAACATTTATAATTTAAAATTATGATGTATTTAAAAGAACATCCATATTTCTCCCCTTAAAAGTACAATATAACTGCCTGATGTGTGAAAACCAAATCCTGCTACATGTCTACACTGTATTCTGGTCTGCCGTAGAGTGATCAAAATTCTGTAAAAAATTATGACCCAGAGTCTAGTTCACAGAAAAATGGTCAAAGTGATATCACTAAGGGGTGAGAAATGACAAAAGAGAGAATTTATTTTAAGAATGAAAAGAAAACAATACTGATGCTCTCTAAAATCCATCCACTAAGCATTGATATCATGTTTTCAGACTTGGGGAAATGGACTCTTAAGACATAATTTTTTTTTTTTTTTTTTTTGCGGTACGCGGGCCTCTCACTGTTGTGGCCTCTCCCGCTGCGGAGCACAGGCTCTGGACGCGCAGGCTCAGCGGTCATGGCTCAGGGGCCCAGCCGCTCCGCGGCATGTGGGATCTTCCTGGACTGGGGCACAAACCCACGTCCCCTGCATCGGTAGGCGGACTCTCAACCACTGCACCACCAGGGAAGCCCTTAAGACATAATTTTTATATCAGAGTGGTTTTTTTTTCTTTTTTTTACTCTTTTACCCCTTCTTTCCTTTTCATCTTAGGTGCAAACTAGAAGCTTCCACTGGCCCTCATTTCCTTGCTGGGGTCAGAGCGGCGAGGGAGGTTTGCAGGAAGAGCTGGGGTCTGCTGTCTAGCCCACATGTGCCTTGGCCTCTTGCTGACCTCCCTCTTCTCCAGGAGCGGCTGGTGTGGGGATGCAGCTGCCACATCTGCACAATTCCCCGTATTCTCTCCTCAGGCCCTGGTGGCGGGGGGTGGGGGGGCGGGCCTGGCCCCAGGCAGGAGGCCCCCACGTTGGTACATTAAAAGGTGTATAATATCACTGGTTTCCAACACAGTATTAAAACTCAGTGCTCATT